TATACATACATAAGTGAGAGAGAGAGAGAGAAAGAGAAATGTACACAGTGTATGGTTACGTAGCTGAGTATTTATATTGTGTGTATGTGTGAGGTGAGTGAAGGTCATGAGCTCATCTCTGGTTCGGTGAGGTCTCCTCAGTCTGAAGAGATGGTGGCCATGGAGGTCTGGAACAGAAGAAGAGCAGAAAAGGTTACGCACCAAATTGAAAGAGCACAGATAATAGTAAAGAGAAATACTTAAAACATGAGAACTCCGACATAATTTCATAATAGGATTATAGACCTATTATTTTTATTTGTTCTTCCGCTTGTTTCATTGTCGCTCAAACAACTGCCTCTTCACACGGCTGCAGTTAGTACAAGTACATGAACCTGACGCTCAGCTCAGAGGAAGAACTTCTGTCAACTCGAACCAGCCGTAACATCTCACCAGTATACAGACACTCTCGTCACTCAATACGTTACCAGTCAAACCACTTCATCAGTTCATCACTTGAACTTTAATTGTAAATATTTGACATCATAAACGTGAGACAGATAAACTTGAACATTAACCGAAGAGCAACAATCTTAAGAGCCGACAAGGACATAGAAATGGAAACTCTGCTGGTAATGTCTCAGTAAAATGGCACTTCCTCTTATTTGAAAGAGCCATTGTGTCATTCAGTCTCTTCTTTCCTTTCCTCCTTTTCCGTTGCAACACTCATCTGCTCTTTTCCTTCTCTTTGTTTTATCAGTCTTCCTCTGCTCTCATTCGCTCTTTTTTTTTCCATCAGTCTTTGTATTTTTCTCCTCTTTAACTCTTTTCTTTTTTTATTAGTCTATTTCTCTCCTCTCTACTCTTCAATAAGTCTTCCACTACTCTAAAACAGAGACATAATATAATCACAATATTTTATCACACATCTTAAGCCGAAAAGTCTATGTTCGCAATCTATTCAGTTTATTTATATAACTCCAAGTCACAACAGAAGTCATCTGAACAGAAACATTCATACAGTGAGGAAAATAAGTATTTGAACACCCTGCGACTTTGCAAGTTCTCCCACTTGGAAATCATGGAGGGGTCTGACATTTTCATCTTAGGTGCATGTCCACTGTGGGAGACATAATCTATAAAAAAAATAATTTAAAAAAATCCAAAAATCACAATGTAAGATTTGTTAATAATTTATTTATTTGTGTGTTACTGCTGCAAATAAGTATTTGAACACCTGCCAATCAGTTCTGGCCCTCAAAGACCTGTTAGTCCTCCTCTATAACGTCCACCTCCACTCCACTTATTATTCTAAATTAGAAGCACCTGTTTGAGGTCGGTAGCTGCATAAAGACACCGGTCCACCCCACACAGTCAGTTAGAGCATTGAAGATGGGTCGTGGCTGGGTCTTCCAACATGACAATGACCTGAAACACACAGCCAGGAGAACCAAGGAGTGGCTCCGTAAGAAGCATATCAAGGTTCTGGAGTGGCCTAGCCAGTCTCCAGACCTAAACCCTATAGAAAATCTTTTGGAGGGAGCTCAAACTCTGTTTCTCAGCGACAGCCCAGAAACCTGGCTGATCTAGAGAAGATCTGTGGAGGAATGGACCAAAATCTCTGCTGCAGTGTGTGCAAACCTGGTGGAAAACTACAGGAAACATTTGACCTCTGTAACTGCAAACAAAAGCTACTGTACCAAATGTTAACATTGATTTTCACAGGTGTTCAAATACTTATTTACAGCAGTAACACACAAATAAATTATTTTAAAAATCATACATTGTGATTTCTGGATTTTTTAAATTTAGATAGTCTCTCACAGTGGACATGCACCTGAGATGAAAATTTCAGACTCCTCCATGATTTCTAAATGGGAGAACTTGCAAAGTCACAGCGTGTTCAAATACTTATTTTCCTCACTGTATAAAAGTAAGTTAACACTATTTATCTGAGGAGCCAGCAGATTGATTTGAGTTTTAGTAGATTAGCAAAACAACTCATAGCTAGCTCTGAAAATAGAAAGGGCACCAATCAATTCTAAAACATTGGATGAACCCTTGGTGCGTGTATCCTCATGCAGTAATCATGTCAAGTCTAAACCCAAACTAATAACTGAGCCTTGAAGGCAGTTTATCATCCTGTCCATGATTTCTCTCTCACTCGAGCTGCAGTTACTCCCTGTTGAGCTGTTTGTTAATAAAACTTGATTTGGATCTTCATCTTTAGTAAAACTAAACACATTTCAGCCCTATTTTTTTTACCTGGACACAGCTGACAACACTGAAACATTTCCTACCTCGAACAAAACTTTTATCATGACAGGATCAGCCCAGTTCAAACAAAATAAGTCCTTCATACCATCACAGGAGAGCTCCCTGTCAGTGTTGACAAACTCGCGCTGCGCTTCTTCTTCTTCCATTTTAAATGCGGCGCTCGTGGCTCTTCTTCTTCTTCTTGGTCTGTAACGTCAGCCCTGCAGCGCCGGTGCAACCGGCTGCTACAGTAATAGCGGTTGTTGCACGCAACTGCACCCGGCTACAGTAGTAACAGTCTACATGTAATGTTTTTTTTTCTCTCATTCATTAAATGCTCAAATCGTGGACATTTTCAGGGACAGCTTTAGCCAGGGACAGGCCTTCCAAAACAGGGACTGTCCCCGAAAATCGGGGACTTCTGGTCACCCTAACATAAGCATTACATCAGTGCCGGCTGTTGTCGGGGCGGGGGGTTGGGGGTTGGGGGTGGATCGGTTCGATAGGCAGGGTGCTCAGTTCTGTTGACAGGGTGGGGTGCCCTGATTGTATAATAGTAGGGGAAACACTTCCGTCCAACAAAGCTAAGTCAGGTCCTCTGGACGGTTTCTTTTGTTGAAACATTTCATCTTGTCTTGATGAAACGTTTCAACCAAAAAGAAACCGTCCAGAGGACCTGACTTAAACTTGTTGGATTTTTCTACCTGGATTACTGAGCATGAATCAGGAGATGATGACAGATTTATATTTACATATTCCTTCCTGCTCTTTTCCAGAGAACATTTCCCCTTCTTTCAGACGGCTCCAGATGGCTGGAAGAACACCATCCGACACAACTTGTGCTTCAACAGCAGCTTCCGGAAGACTTGCAACCAGCTTTGCAGAGACGGGAAGAGGAAGTCGTGTTTCTGGCACCTGACTCTGGACGGACATCGACGGCTGCAGGATGAGCTCCACATGCTGACAGGAGAAATTCAAAAACTGCTGGAGAGGAGCATGTCCAACCCAGGTGGGTGGGATAAAACTATGCAACTTCAGTTCATAGGCAACACGGCAAAAAACCCCTCTTGTTTATAATACCACAATTGCTTATTCCATAACATGCTAAAAATATTTTTTTATACTGGGTCTAAAAATTTCTAACATCATGAATTCCCAGAGTTTCTATATTGCAGATATGATTAATCATTTACTGTTTTTGTTTCAGCTTTACTTGAACTGTGAAGTCGGTGTATAATAAAACCCCAAGCAAATTTTCTGTCAACGTGTTTTTTTGTTTGTTTTGTTTTTTGTTTATGGGAGAGCAAGCTTTGGAATTAACTTAAAGAAAATGTTTAAATTTGAATGCACCTGATATTTCATGTTGGGTTTTATTTTTTTTTACCACAAATCGTGCTTTTTTTTTTCAAAAATGGTGTCTAGTGATCCAAAAATTGTCTAATTTTAAAGCCAAAAATTGTGACTTGAGGTGCAAGATGGCTGCTGAATAAACAACTTTTTGCTAGGCTCCCATCAGCCCAGCTGAAAAATAGCCTTTTATAATTGTATCCTTGCTGCTTCCACGCTGGATTCTGCCTGCGAGATGAGTGTCGTCATATGATTGACTCAACAGAGCTGTAATATGGCCTCTAAGCTAAAGAAATCTAAAGCATCAATGTCTTCCCCCACATAGCCTGTCGTCACATAGTCTCGGGCTGCGGTGAAGGAGCGGCATTTGGAGCAGGTGCATCGGCCCCACCCTCACCAGGCTCTGGAGAGACAGTTGAATTGGCTCTGAAATCAGACGTTCTGGCTTCAATAAAATCTGAAGTCAGTGCGATGTTTAGGGTGGAGATGAAGGTGGCTCTGACGGATGATTTTAATTTGATTAGGAGTGAATTCCAGGTGGTGAGAGCAGAGCTTACTGGAAAAACTGCAGCCTAAAGAACAGTTTGACCAAGTCAAGCTAAGTGTAACAGAGATTGGGAAAGGGCTGTCTTTAAGCTCAGATGAGGTAGAGACTGTGTGGGACTATGGTGTAATTGAAGAATGAGGTGGATGGGCTGAGAAAAAGGCTTGAATCTGTGGAAGGGAATATGAAACGGAACAACATTAGGACTATTGGAGTTCCTGAATCGCCAGGCTTGTGCACTCGTACGGTGATGGCCAAAATGCTCATGTAGGTGCTGAAGCTGGACAAGTCACCAGAGGTGGGACCAAGTCAGTTTTTTGCAAGTCTGAAGTAAGTCTCAAGTAAAGTCTCAAGTCAAGACAGGCAACAGTCAAGTCTCATCCCAAGTCTGAAACTTGGAATTTCAAGTCCTTTAATTTAAAAAAAAAAAAAAAACAATGTTGCAATTGTATGTTAAATGTAAATAATAGACTTTGTTTTTATTTTTACCTGTATTTATTTCAAATCTTGATAAAGCTGAAAACTGGCTCCACTGGAGCACTGCAAGCAGGCACTGCCAAAACTCTGGTGGCCACATGAAACGGGGAAGTTTGCATTTTCATTGCCCAGAACAAGAGAGCATTCTGTCCATCAGCAATATTGAGGTAGTGACTTAGCTGTAGTGTTGGACTGGTCTGCACATTCTTCTTCTGCCTCTTACAGTAAGCAGCAAACTGTCCTCCATCTTCACAGTCCTTTTGATCTTCATCACCAGGAGTCACGGGTTGATCTGACTTTGCAGGATCTGCATCATCTTCTAGGATCAGATCTGAGAAAAACTCTTAACAGCAGCAAAAGGGTCCTTTTTACAATTTTAGGCAATAAATAAATAAATAAATAAAAATACAGGAAAAAGTACACTAAATAGTCTACCTTTTAACTTTTTGTGTTACCTCTGTCTTCATGTCTTGACTGCCCAACACATGGTGTTCCACCTACAACAGAGAATGCTGGATCCAAAGCAGCCGTTCAATTTTGTATAGGCTTCGCCCTTTAAGGCTATCAATAGGTTTATCCCTTCGTGCACAGCGCATCACTGAAAACTTTAGTCCGCGCACAGTGCAGCACTGAAAACTTTAGTCCGTGTCCACCGGCTGTGTGGGCCCCACCCCCGGTCCGTATAAATTACGGTGAGACTGGGCAATCGGCTCCCATTTTTTCTCCAGCCAGCTAGCTAGCACTGTCAGAAGAACAAAGAAGAAAAGGATGTCCAGCAACATCTGCGAAGGATACTTGGTCCCCGCCATCCCGACCTCGCCACCTCCTGCCGTCCCTGTGAGCTCCTTCCTCCCGAGGAGAAGCAGAGACGAGCAGTCTTGCTCAAGATAAATGTTGAGCAGTGCTTTTTCCGTGCCGGGCCGCTACTCGCTGGATGACGCCATCGCCTTTTCTAATGCATTTCCACGCAGTGAATCGGATGATTCCTCCGAAAAAAGGTGAGGCTGGCAGCAGCCCCGCTGCTTCCTCCCTCCTGGAGAGCGTAGTGACGGAAGATAGACGGCCGAGCAGATGCTCAGCCACCTCGGGTCTTCCTATGTCGGTGACCACTTCAATCCCAGCCGTTGGCGCCCTCCTCTTGGAACTGCCCGGCATAATCCAGGAGGCTGCTGACACAAAGTTGACACTGTTTGATTTCTGTGCCCCCCTCTGTGAGAACTGTTGTGAAATAAAGATTGTGTTCCTTGTTGAATCTGACTCCCACTTCTTGTTTTACTTTGAAATTGACCCACTTCCTGTTTTACTTTGAAGAGGCTCCCACAGATTGATTTCTCTGTTGAAGTCTGTTCCTGTTTACATCATGTGACACGATGTCTCACACTTCTGATTGGTTTGAAACTGGCCAATCCCATGACAGCAGGCTTGAGAGCGCGATGAAAAGTTAGTTTTTATGTGTGAAGAAACGCCCTGTTTTGAGACAAAGAAAAGTGCAGTTTCTCCTCGAAGCGGCAGCCAGACGGAGCAGAGAGACGGTCGACTTCAGATTCCTCCTTAACAAGGTTGTATCGTATAGTTTAATGGATGCGCATCCAATTAATTATATGTTAAAATAATGACTGCATTTAACTAATCCACTGTTTATGCTTGTGAATCTGTGACTTTCTTTGCTTATTAAATATTCGTAAACTTGAAGGTGCGTTTGTCGTATTCTGAGTGCGTGTCTTGACTTCTCCTGCAGGGGAACGGTAACAGCAGAGCTCGGGTGGAGAAATAAGATAAAAAACACAACAGAACCGATCTGAATCACTGGGGAAAACCCCTCATTCTGTCAAGAGGGAGTTCCCATCAGCAGGCCTACGTCTCAGGTCTCAGTTTTCACAGACGTGTCCCTGTCAGGCTGGGGAGGAATGTGTCTGTCCCAGGCAGTGGGAGCACAGTGGCCGGACCACATGTCTTTTCACATAAATGAGCTAGAACTTCTCACGGTCTGGAACGTGACTCAGCATTTTGCTCCCCTGCTGCGGGATCAGCCTGTTCTGATCTACACAGACACCAAAGTGACGGCAGTTTACATAAACCCTCAGGGAGGCGTGCGCTCAGGCGAACTGTTACTCATCGTGAGACAGCTGCTGTGTTGGGCACACAAAAACCTGCTCTCCATCAGAGCAGTGTACGTTCCCGGCGTCCTGAACAGGGGAGCGGACATCATGTCGAGGGGCGGTCCCCACCACGGGGACTGGAGCCTTCATCTCAAGCTGATCTCTCGGATCTGGAGCAGGTTTGGCCAAGCAAGTTCAAGTTTGAGTTCACCCTCCCCCATCCAACTCCTAAGTCGTGCATTCCTGCACGTCGCAGCCGGACCATTAACCACTTCACTGCCGCACGTTTCACAGATGTTTATAACTCTGAAATGATCATTCAGGCCCCAGTGTTTCTCACCACCACTGAGGAGCTGACATCCCAGTTCAACTCTGTCTGCTTAAAGACTCTGGATCATGTCGCACCTGTTAAAACAAAAAAAAAAATCAAAAATCAAAGCAGAACCTTGGCTGAGTGACGTCACCAAGGCCATTAGGCAGCAATGTAGGAGGGCGGAATGAAAGTGGAGGAAACACAGGCTGCAGGTCTCTTTCCAGATACTTAAAGAGAGTTGGCGCTATTATCAGAAAGCAGTAAAAGCTGCTAAATCAAAATTCTTTTCTGATATAATTACCTCAAACTCTCACAACCCACGTGTCCTCTTCTCCACCCTAAACTCTGTTCTCCACTTCACTGAACCATCACCTCTGGAAGCCTCGACTGAGCTGTGCGACAACTTCCTACATTTCTTTTTGGAAAAAATTGCGACCACCAGGGCTTTCATTTCCCCTCCAACTCATGACCCATCCATTCCACCTCAATATGTAGCTCCTTTTGACCATTTTGAACCCATCACTCTATCGTCTCTAGAGCAGGTCATGTGCAACTTGAAACCTTCTGGCTCCCCCTTTGATGTGGTCCCCCCTCGACTACTAAAGGAGGTTTTTCCCTACTCTAGGTCCGTCCATTCTTGCCATAGTAAACAGTAGTTTATCCACCGGCGTGGTGCCAAAATCCTTTAAACATGCTGCTGTCCAGCCCCTCCTGAAAAAACCAAACCTTGACCCCTCAGTCGTTTCCAACTTCTGGCCTGTCTCCAAACTCCCATTTGTTTCTAAAGTACTGGAGAAAATAGTCGAGTCCCAGTTGAAGTGCTTCCTGGAGGATCACGCCATCTTAGAGCTTTTCCAATGTGGCTTTAAACCTCTCCACAGCACTGAAACTGCCCTGCTGAAGGTCTTTAACGACATCTTCAGATTCACAGATACCGGTGATTCTGTGCTGCTTGTCCTGTTGCACCTCACAGCTGCCTTTGACACCATCGACCATGATATCCTCATTGCTAGGTTGGAGCAGTGGGTGGGCGTCACAGGATCAGCCCTCAATTGGTTCAGATCTTACCTCACTGACAGATACTTTTGTGTCTCCATCAAGGATTTTAGTTCCGCAGAGGCAGAGCTTAAATGGGGGGTTCCGCAGTGGTCCATCCTGGGTCCCCTCCTATTCTCTTTATACCTGCTGCTGTTTGGTGCTATTTTCCGGAAACACAACATGCCCTTCCACTTCTATGCTGATGACTGTCAAATTTACTTCCCCCAAGACACAATGGTACATGCTCTATTCAACCGCTGCTCAACTGCCTGGCTGACATCAGGGACTGGATGGCTTTAAACTTCTTAAGTTTCAATGAAAAGAAGTCTGAAGTCATGTTCTCTCCCAACAACACGATCACAAACCACTGCATCGACCTTTCCGCTCTAACCCTGTCAGAAAAACAAAGAGTCACTAATCTGGGCATGA